AATAATTATTATTTTATGAATCATGTAGGCCTCGTTAATGACAGCCAAGTTGTTATATTACATAAGACCCTCAAATGTGTTTACCAAAGGCACTTTTACTTTAATATAAATATATCAACAAAGGCAACTTGAGCTGTTGAGTTATTGGTCAGAAACCGTCTTTAAGTACAAAGTCAATAAGATACTGACCCTTGACCCAAAAATTAATAGGGGTCATTTACTGGCCAAGACCAATGCACCTACAAAGTTTGAGGGCCAGCACCTATGGGCTTGTCGAGTTATTGATCGGAAACCGTTTTCACCTACAAGGTTAATATGACCTTGACCTTTGACTGCTTGAACCCAAAATCAATAAGGGTCATCTAATTGTCAAGTCAAACCAAATGTACTTACGAAGTTTTGGGGGCCAACAGCTCATGGGTTGTCAAGTTAATGATCCGCAACCGTTTTTACCTACAAGATGAATATGACCTTGATCTTTGACCCCCTCGACCCCAAAATCAATTGGGGTCATCTACTGGTCATGAGCAATCATGATATCAAGTTTAAAGTTCCTAGGCCTTAACGTTCTTAAGTTATTGATCTGAAACTGTTTTGATCTAGAAGGCCAATGTTACCTTGACCTTTGACACCTTAACCCTAAAATATGCTGGTCATGACCAATCATTAAACAAAGTTTGAATTTCCTCGACCTAAACATTCTTTAGTTATTGAGAGTACACTGATTTTACTGACAAGGTCAATGTGACCTAGACCTTTCACCTTGACCCCAAAATCAAAAGGGTTCATCTGTTGGTCATGAACAATCATTGTACCAAGTTTGGAGTTTCCAGGTCTAAGCGTCCTTCAGGTATTGAGTGGAAACCGTTTTTAACTACAAGTCAATGTGACATTGACCTTTGACCCCTTGACCCCAATATCCATAGGGTTCATCTGCTGGTCATGAACAATCATCATACCAAGTTTGAAGTTCCTTGCCCAAAGCCTTCCTTAGTTATTGATTAGAAACCGTTTTTACCTACAAGGTTAATGTGACCTTGACCTTTGACCCCTTGATCTTAAAATCAATAGAAGTCATCTGCTTGTCATGAACAATCATCATACAAAGTTTGATGTTCCTAGGCTTAGCCTTCTTCAGTTATTGATCGGAAACCGTTTTTACCTACAAGGTCAATGTGACCTTGACCTTTGACCCCTTGACCATTAAGTTAATAGGGTCATCTGCTGGTCATGACGAGTCATCATACTAAGTTTGGAGTACCTAGGCCTGAGCGTTCTTAAGTTATCACTCGGAAACCGTTTTTACATACAAGGTCAATGTGACCTTGACCTAAGACTTCTTGACCCCAAAATCAATAGGGGTCATCTTCTGGTCATGAACAATCATCATACTAAGTTTAAAGTTCCTTGGCCTAAGTGTTCTTTAGTTATCACTCGGAAACCAGTCGGTCGGTCCGTAGACCAAATGGTTTCCGAATGATTGATCATGACCAGCAAATGACCTATATAGATTTTGACATTGACCTTGTAGGTAAAAACAGTTTCCGAGTTATAACTTAAGAACGCTTAGACCTAGGAACTTCAAACTTTGTATGATAGTTGTTCATATCCAGCAGATTAACCCTTTTGATTTTGGGGTCAAAGGCCAAGGTCACATTGACCTTGAAGGTAAAAACGGTTTTCGATCAATAGCTACAAAACACTTAGGCTTAGGAACTTCAAACTAGGTATAATGATTGGTCATAATCAGCAGATGACCCCTATTAACTTTGGGGTCACGGGGTCAAAGGTCAAGGTAAAATTGACCTTGTAGGTAAAAACGGTTTCCGATCAATACCTTAAGAAGGATTAGGCCTAGGAACTTCAAAATTGGTATGATGATTGGTCATGACAAGCAGATGACCTCTATTGATTTTAAGATCAAGGGGTCAAAGGTCACATTGACCTTGTAGGTAAAAACGGTTTCTATTAAAAAAACTAAAGAACGCTTAGGCCAAGGAACTTCAAACTTGGTATGATGATTGTTCATGACCAGCAGATGAACCCTATTGATTTTGGGGTCAAGGGATCAAAGGTCAATATCACATTGACTTGTAGTTAAAAATGGTTTCTACTCAATATCTATCTAAAAGACACTAAGGCCTATGCACTTCAAACTTGGTATGATGATTGTTCATGACCAGCAGATGAACCCTATTGACTTTGGTGTCAAAGGTCAAGGTCACATTGACCTTCTAATAAAAAACGGTTTCTGATCAATAACTAAAGAACGCTTAGGCCTAGGAACTTCAAACTTGGTATAGTGATTGTTCATGACCAGCAGATGAAGCCTATTGATTTTGGGGTCAAGGGTCAAAGGTCAAGGTCACATTGACTTGTAGATAAAAATGGTTTCCACTAAGTACCTAAAGGACACTTAGGCCTAGGAACTTCATACTTGGTATGATAATTGTTCATGACCAGCAGATGAACTCTATTGATTTTGGGGTCATAGGTCAAGGTCACATTGACTTGAAGGTAAAAACGGTTTCCACTCAATACCTGAAGGACGCTTAGACCTAGAAACTCCATACTTGGTACAATGATTGTTCATGACCAACAGATGAACCCTATTGATTTTGGGGTCAAAGGTCAAGGTCACATTGACCTTGTCAGTAAAATCAGTGTCCTCTCAATAACTAAAGACTGTTTAGGTCGAGGAACTTCAAACTTGGTTTAATGATTGATTAACTGTTTTAAATTGGTACCAGGACATATTCGATATACATTTTACAAGTTTAGAGTAGATAGTGTCACAAAGTTATGAGGATAAAATGCTATAGTATATAGACATAAAAAAACATCATTATAATGTATTAATAACTATTTTCTCTGAAAAAAAAAACCACTGGTGGCAATCGAATCGATCCAAGCGACCGGTGCCGGAACATTCATTGTTATTAGGAAAAGTGCCTATTCAAATTGCCCTATCATTATATATAGATTTAAATGATATTTACAAAAATAACTTGATTAATATGATATGTGCATCTAATGGTCCCCTGATAGTCTTACGTGATCCACGCATATATACTCCGTAGTGAATAGAGTAAAGATCTCCTGATTGTCTTACGTGATCCTCATACAAACTCCATATTATATAAGAGTATATATACATCCACATGTATATGATCCCCTGGTCGCCTATCGCGATCCCCTCATACAAGTTCCATGATAAATAGGGCGTATGTTCATCTAGATACCTTGATCCCCACACACTTGCTCCTTGATAAAAAGAGTTTATATGTATATCTAAATGATCCCCTGGTCGTCTTACGTAATCTAATAATACATGTTCGATAATATCCCCTTGTCGTCTAACGTGCTCCCTGCATACAAGTCCGATACTAAACAAGCAGAGTATATGTACATCTAAATGATCCCCTGGTCTCCTTACGTGATCCCCTCATACATGTTCCATATCAAATAGAGTATATGTTCATCTAAATGATCCCCTAGCCCCGTGTTCACAAAGAGTTAAGGACCAGGATCAAGATCAGGATCAAATTTCAAATCTCAAATATTCATCTTTATTTATCCTCATAGATTCAATTTTCAATAATTATTTGATAAAACTGGACTTGAAATAGCATGTTCATGAAATTTTATAATAAATTTATTGTTATTTTCCCAAGATACGGGCATTTTACAGTTGATCTTGATCCCAAAATTGATCCTCATTTTGATATGATTATTTTTGTATTTGTTTTGTTATTTGTTGATTTTATCCCAAAATCGGTTGGTTTCTTTGCAAATAAGCAATTATTTTCATTTCGAATAATGCACCAATTAATTCTAGCCAAATAGATCAGTTTTTGTTTTATAAAACAAAGAAAATCAAATCAGGATCATTTGTTTCTGATCCTGATCTTTTCTTTGTGAACACAGGGCCAGGTCGCTTAACGAGTATAATAATATCCCATATAATCACATAATACCCTCATACATAGTCCATTATGAATAGAGTATATGTAGTATATGTACATATAATTATGTGATTATCTCATGTATGGTCCATAAGAACTAGAGTATGTTGATTTTCAATAAAACCTGGGAAATTATTTGGGATGACACATTATGTATTACATGTATGTTCTATTAGAACTACAGTTCATGTTCATTAGGTTATATAGATGATCCGATTGTCAGCTAAATGACCCTCTCATACATATTCTATCGGAAGAAGAACAAATGAAGTTTTAATCATATTTTGGTCATTATAAGTGATCTTCTCAAAAATGTTCTTTTGAGAAAAAGAAAATCTGTACATACAGGTTACGTGATCCCTTTACCTGTATTTCAGATATCTAGAGTATATTAACACCTCAAAGACCCCTGGTCATCTTACGTGATCTCCTTATATATGTTTTATAATAAAGTAGAGTGTTTATGCATCTAAAAGACCTCCTGGTCATCTAAGGTGAAATCTCATATCAGTTCCATACAACTAATGTATATGTACATCTAGATGATCCCCTGCTAATCTTACATTATCCTCTCATACATCTTCATAAAAAGTGGAGTATATGTTCACGAAGACGATCTCTTGGTCCTCATATGTCATAATATGCTAAATATCCTATCCTATGAATCAAATTATCGAATAACATTTTTCAGTATACAATAAATATAATTAATTATATACAATATATATTTTCAAATATAGAACCGTATATAGAAAATTATCGCACACAAATATTTTTTATAATGAACAATTAATTATTCAGTAGGATTGAATAAATATTATGGTAAAGAATATGAAATTAGAGTTATATCCAATATAAATATGGGATATTGGATATAGACCAAAAAAATAGATTTATTGAATTTCGCAAAGTTTAACATGCCACAGCTACGTGCAAGCTTAATGAGTTAGTGGTAAGTTCGTCCTTTCAGGAACTTAAGATCTCTAATCTCCATTGTGCACAATGTTAGTTGTGTTGAATGCAAATCGTCTGAATCTACTCCGATTACAATGATTACAAAGAACTATATATCACATTCCTTGTGCAGTAGGATTGTAAAATTTATCGAAATCTATATATATAAACGTATATATAGATAAGAGCTAGTTGCATTAGGACAGTCACCGTCGACTAATGTGTATGGTATGTATTAAGATTTTCTTTTCTTTTTTTGAGTTGAGTTGCTTTTATGAATACGATTGTGACAGTTATTTATTTGTTTTAATTCTTTTAGAATTGATATAGGTGTCAATGGTGTTTAACGGCTATTTAACAACAGTTTTGTCGCTTTGATGTGGAAAAAAATAACTACTCAGACCTACGCATCAAAACGTTACTGCTTGTGTTAAATAAACGATAAATATCACGAAATAGATATTATTTCGATTTTAACAAGACACAATAATGAAGATCGCTAATGCTTTTTTCAATTGGATATTATTATCGATGCCGACTTTCGTATAACGCTGTTCTATTTCTCACCCTACTGTCGATAAGTTTTAAAAATTAATAAACAAGACAAAGAGTAAGATTTCATTTTCAAAAAAAACTATTTTATCAAGTTTTCAACACTTTAAACTTATGTGTCAGACTGGATTGTATTGTGTTAACATCGGAGCTCGATTAATCAATCTTTGTCGGTTTACAATGACGTCATTCTGGCGCTTTTATGAATACGTTGAGTATTAAGAATGATGTCATTACGCTGCTTACGAATTGGCGTTGATATTTTTAATAGAAATGTCAGCTGATATAGATAAAGTCTGTGGCGTTGGTGTATGTGAGATGTTATTTTAGCATGTTATGAAAAGAAATATTAATAAAAATGCATTATCATTGTAAAAAAGATTATAATAATAAATAAATAAATGAATGAATAAAAAATAAATCATCAAAAAATGTTCCGATAAGATATATACATGCTACATAAAAATGCTAATTTAAACATTTTTAATAAACGTTTTTTTATGTTTAAATGTTTTAGTTATGGGTAACCGACTACACAACACACATGTAACCAATGGACTGGACAGATCAGTATTAGTCGTAATTACTCATCCTCATCCGAATGAACGTAACGACAAACTTCATGTCGATCCAGGAAAAACACGAAACGTTCCCACAGCACAAGGCAACGTAACAATAAGTGTTTATGACCCAGCATCAACAGATCCGTATCCATACGAATGTAGGAATTTACCATCTGACCGTAATGTTTATATTGATAAGAATGCACAGGGAAAACCAAAGATAAGATTTGTAAAGGAAGGTTCTCTTCGTGAATGTATTGGCAGTGATTGGAATTATGATCAGGCATAAATACACTGCAACAACTTAATTATTTGTATGTAGTTTTGATATTTTATAGTCGTTTGCATGATGTCAAGTTACGACGAAGCGACTAGAAAACTTCACAAAGAAACAACTGATTATGTGCAAGACTTTCTGAATAATGTTACGAAATATGCTGAAGAATCTATTCATAATTCAAAGCTGCGACAAGAATATATTACATTAGCCCAAAAATCAGCCACGGACTTTCTTAAACTTTGCGAGGCTAGGGTAGATGAAAAATTTGCAAAGGCAATTGAAATATGGGATAGGGCTGCTAAAGATGCATGTAAACAGCGGAATTTATATTTACAGTTGACAAGAAAAAACATGAGCGCGGCTTCGTTGGCATTTTCTAAAATGGTGAAAGATGAAGGATTAACATTTCCAAAATTGATTTCAAAATACACAAAGAAATATTTTGAAATGAAACCATACGCATCCCTAACCGAACATGATCAGAAAAAGGTATTAATGGCAATCATCGAAGCCAGTGGAAGAACAAACCCAAATGTTGATGCATTTAGCTTGTGGACCGGTAGGGCCGGTATGATTTTTATTGTGATCACTGTATCATTAACTATATATTTCATTTGTGAATCAGCAAATCCAAAATTAAAGGCAGTTAAAACAGCTGTTTCCCTTGGGGTTGGATTAGTTGCTGGAAAATATGGTGGCGAGCTAGGGTCGATTGTTGGGAGTTGTGGTGGGCCTATTGGGGTATTCATTGGAGCCATCGTTGGAGGGTTTCTATTTGGCTGCTTTGCCAGTTTAGCCGGGGAAACCTTAGTGGATCTTTTGTACAATGCTTTTGTGCCTGCTGCATCCGCTGGTCCCGGTCCGCCTCCATTAGGTGTCAAATTGATTGAAAATGGTCCCCCGCCTTTAGATGTCTCAGGCGTAGTGCGTCCCCAAATATCACCGATAAATGATATGCCGATGACTACTGGCCCTCCCTCTTTACGTGTCAAAGCGACAATCGATTTTCCAGCTCTATGGAACTGATGAGTTTTTTTCTATTTCTAGTATCAAATTCACATGAAACGTTTTATTTTGTAATTGATGAATTCATTAAACTAGTGTATTATTACCCATAATGTTGTGTTGGGCACGAGGGACGTTCATTAGATTGTCAGTAATGAGCTTCAATTTCTCAATTTCACAGGTGTAAATGAATCCAATAGAACTGTAGTTGTTATTCAAATAGCTAGTGTAAACCAATATTTTATTGACTTTTAATTTTTTTATTCCATGTTTCTAGAAGCCTCTTGACCGAGTGGTTAAGGTCGCTGACCTCGCCGCCGTATTGTGTTGACCGAGTCTGCAATTCTCTTGTTATTTTGTTGTGAATAATACTTCCGAGGGATCACTTTGTTTCCAGATTTTTGTTCAAATCCCAGTTCCTTATTGCTGGGCTTTTTTTGTTTATTTTAATTTTTTTCAGAACAGTTTTCTTTTTGTTAAAGGTGAAACAGTTATAACAAAAAGACTTAATTTTCTAAATATGGAAGCATATATCTTATATATCTGTATACATGTATCTTTAATTGATCCCGTTCGTCCATATTTAAGTCTGTTAATGCTCCAGACGTTGTACTAACTTTTGATTTTATATTATATATACACAAAGCAATGGTGGTGGATTAAATTAAGTTTTGGTAGATTATATATATGCTATATTTCTGAAATATTTTATAACAGCTTATAGAAATAAAATAGTTTTACCTATATTTGAAGGATTTATATTTATTTTTCCGTAATCTAGTTGTAATATTTACTGGTTCATGTAAAATGTCCACATATAGATCAAAGAAAAAAGCACACAAACCCCATATGTTTGTACATCCGTCCTATTATACTTCAACAGCATATCTGTAAATATCAACAAGAAAGGTGGGAAGATTTCTTTGTGAACAAGTAAGGTGTGCAAGAATGATAACGCTTTTCTTCTTATCTCTTTTGTTATTGCCTAAAAAAAATTCCAAGCGGTCATTAAGTATTTTAGATATCAACTTGAAACTTCAAAATTAAATAAATGTCATTAAAAGAAGAACGTTGCACAATAACTCTTAATTTTTACTTTTTTGGAGCTAATGACCTTCTTTACTTTTCTTGAATTTTTTTTGTCCGAACCATTAATCGTATTTTTTTGAGATATTTGTTTGAAATATTCAGGTAAATCACTGTTATAACAGGAATAATTTTTCACTTCAATATTTTGGAAAAATTAAGTTTTGTTGTTCTTCATTCTTAATTTGTAAAGACCATAACTCAAAGAATTTATCTGATATAGCAAGTTGTTACTTCATTATTGGATTGATATTTTATTTTTTAATTATACCCTTTCTAACTTTTGCCCTAGTTATAGCACGTTTTAGAGATATCAGCTTTTAATGTTATTAGCATATTTATATGTCTCATATTCTGGCTTGCACTTGTTGAGTTATTTCCGCTTGATATGTAATTGAATGTCAATAAGTGCGTATTTACTATCCTCTTTTTTACCGATGAAATTAACAAGGTCAGTACATAGACCAATTAAAAACCACTTGAGGAAATTTAGACCACGAAATAACTAAAACGGGGGCGTCTTCGAGACATGCAATTTGTTATCATTTGTTTGGTAACCTATACATGTATATTAGAAATAATTTTTTTCAAAATACAAACTTTATATAAGAAGCCTGCTAGAAACCATTCTATATGTTATTTTAGGGTCAACAACTATTTTAAATATTTCTCTTATAGAAGAAATCGCTCTATCGATCAAACAGGTGTCTATTTGTTAAATAGTTTGTTTGTTCTTGAAATTCGAACAGACAATGAAGGTCACATGGTGAAAGCTTTTGTTTTTAATGCCATTCAAATATACACATACATGATGTCTAAATCAGGTGCAATGCAATATCGACCTTTTAAAAATTATATTGTACATTTGCATTCCAAACATCAGGCTATGTAAACCAGACCCTATTTAGCGAACAAAAAGAATAATAATTACACAAATAACTACATGTATTTAATTGCGCTCAGGCTGATTACAGTCAAGCAATAACAGGATGGGGTCGGCATGATGAACAGGAACGGTACGATGCTGAAAAAAGGGAAGGTGTTACAGTGTATACATACTCCAGAGTGAGAATATCTTATGAAAATGTCAGAGTAATTAATTTTTGCAATTTCATATTTTTGTACCAAGACGTATCACAGAAGGTTTGATTTATAAGTGTAAAAGTTATTAACAGTAACAGACTGTGTGAAAAATTTCATGAACGTGAATACATACTTTATCTTACGATAAAGAGATACACGCCATTGAGTTGAATAGCAAATACTTTTATGCAAAGATAGACATTAGACGTCTCTTTGACTGAATATCTATGGGTACAATGAGTTTTGTATGGAAGCGTCCTAGTGCCAAACCTGAAATGTTTTTATGTCATAATTAGTAGATAGTAAGTGCTAATTAGTAGAAAGTAAGTGCTAATTAGTAGAAAGTAAGTGCTAATTAGTAGATAGTAAGTGCTAATTAGTAGATACTAAGTCATAATTAGTAGACAGTAAATACTAATTAGGAGATAGTAAGTGCTAATTAGTATATACTAAGTCATAATTAGTATATAGTAAGTACTAATTAGTAGATACTAAGTCATAATTAGTAGATAGTAAGTGCTAATTATTAGATAGTAAGTGCTAATTAGTAGATACTAAGTCATAATTAGTAGATAGTAAGTACTAATTAAAAGATACTATGTCATAATTAGTATATAGTAAGTACTAATTAGTAGATAATAAGTCATAATTAGTAGATAGTAAGTACTAATTAATAGATACTATGTCATAATTAGTATATAGTAAGTACTAATTAGAACATAATAAGTCATAATTAGTAGATAGTAAGTACTAATTAGTAGATAGTAAGTGCTAATTAGTAGATAGTAAGTACTAATTAATAGATACTATGTCATAATTAGTATATAGTAAGTACTAATTAGTAGATAATAAGTCATAATTAGTAGATAGTAAGTACTAATTAGTACATATTTAGTAATGATTATTAGATAATATTATTAGACTTATTATGTTCTAATTAGTACTTACTATCTACTAATTATGACTTATTATCTACTAATTAGTACTTACTATATACTAATTATGACATAGTATCTATTAATTAGTACTTACTATCTACTAATTATGACTTATTATGTTCTAATTAGTACTTACTATCTACTAATTATGACTTATTATCTACTAATTAGTACTTACTATATACTAATTATGACATAGTATCTATTAATTAGTACTTACTATCTACTAATTATGACTTATTATCTACTAATTAGTACTTACTATATACTAATTATGACATAGTATCTATTAATTAGTACTTACTATCTACTAATTATGACTTAGTATCTACTAATTAGCACTTACTATCTAATAATTAGCACTTACTATCTACTAATTATGACTTAGTATCTACTAATTAGTACTTACTATATACTAATTATGACTTAGTATATACTAATTAGCGCTTACTATCTCCTAATTAGTATTTACTGTCTACTAATTATGACTTAGTATCGACTAATTATAACTTACTATCTACTAATTAGCACTTACTATCTAATAATTAGTACTTACTATCTACTAATTATGACTTAGTATCTACTAATTAAGAGATAAAAATATTTCAGGTTTGGCACTACGACGCTTCCATAGTTTTGCTACCAAAATTAGAAAATTTTACAGTGTTTTAGGTGCCATAAATTATCTACTTGTATTTAGGTGGAATCATGCCTAGAAGTTTCCAGTGTAATTTTACCAGTATTTTACAGTTTATATTTCACTCGCATCGTCTATTGCTGAAATAGAGAAAATAAGAATCCCTAAAGAAAGCCCAACACGGCAAAATTGAAAATGAAAATTGAAATTACAACCTTTTCCTGATTTTAAATAGGTTATATATTTATCTGTACTGTTTGTCACCTAAAGCTTTTGAATTTTTTGTATAAACTATTCTATATGACATAAATTTGACGTCAGAGGGCCAGGAAAAACTAAGAAAGGAGTCAGTTTTCGGAGAAATGATGAAGAACGTGCAAACAGTTAGAACGTATTGCAATGTTGATGAAAGCCAAATATTGTCTCTGTAAGTTTGAGAATTAATCAAGGATAAGCTTTTAAGTTTATCAAAAGAAAGATCTTATAGTACTGTTGCTTAAAATCATTTTGAATGAAAACAAATATCACAAATGACTACTTGCCAGGTGAAATGTCCCGGTGCTAAATATTTTACCAGATTGTTTACAAGCATACGGACTCTGGTATTCTTTTCTTCATATTTGGGGCATGTATACATCAATCGCAATTTTTTTTGGCCCTTTTCGTCTGCTTCCGGATAAGGACCTCGAACACAATAGTATGAATACACAAAACGGATACGCTATTTCGGTCTTACCTACGCTAAGACACATGTAAACAAGAGGGCCATGATGAAAATCAATGACCCCCTTGGGCGGTGCCAGTTTGAACCCCAGGGCTTTTATTTGAACAATCTTGGTAGACATCCATTAGAAGATGTTTCATGCTAAACATCTAAGGTCTAGCTGGTCATTTTTTTTCTTTACACATATAGTTAAAAACAATGACACACCTGGAGCAGGGCCAATTCTGACCCAAGGGCTTTTATTTGAACAATCTTTGTAGACACTTACTAGTAAAGTTTCATGCTTAATATCTAAAGTCTAGCAATTCAGGTTTTTTCAAAGGAGATTTTAAGTTTTTGCTATACACATATAAGGAAAATCAATGACCCCCTGGGGCGGGGCCAATTTTGACCCCAGGGCTTTTATTTGAACAAACTTTGTAGACACTCACTAGAAGATGCTTCGTGGTTAATATCTAAACTCTAGCTATTTGAGTTTTTTCAAAGAAGATTTTTTAAGTTTTTGTAATACATTTATAAGGAAAATGAAAGACCCACCCGGGCGGGTCAAATTTTGACCCCAGGGCTTTTATTTGAACAAACTTGGTAGACACTCACTAGAAGAGGTTTCATGCTTAGTATCTAAACTCTAGCTATTTGGTTTTTTTCAAAGAAATGTTTGTTTTGCTATACACATATAAGGAAAATCAATGACCCCGGGGCGGGGCCAATTTTGACCCGATGGCTCTTATTTGAACAAACTTGGTAGACATCCATTAGAACATGTGTCATGCTAAATATCTTAGCTCTAGCTCTTTCGGTTCTTTAAAAGAAGATTTTTCAAGTTTTTACTATATGCATATAGGGAAAATCAATGACCCCCTTGGGCGGGGCTAATTTTGACCCCAGGACTTTTATTTGAACAAACTTGGTAGACACCCATTAGAAGATGTTTCATGCTCAATATCTTAGCTCTAGCTCTTTGGGTTCTTTAAAAGAGGATTTTTTTTAAAGTTTTTACTTTATGCATATAGGGAAAATCAATGACCCCCTGGGGCGGGGCCAATTTTGACCCCAGGGCTTTTATTTAGAAATCTTGGTAGACACTCACTAGAAGATGTTTCATGCCAAATATCTAAGCTCTAGC